ATGTTATAGGAGCAAATAATTCAGGGAAGAAAGGATAGGCCTACTAAGTATTTCCATCAAACTTTATTTTTAGAAATGTACAAAATGAACATAAATATACATATATACACGGTATATCATCAATTCCTCCCCTCCATCGCAGCCGGGGCTTTTTAGGACGATGCATCAGTGTGGTAGTTCCGTCATGTATTGTCCGGCAGGATCTGGCTGGAGGAAATCAAATGCAAATCACAAAATATTAGAGAAACTTAGTTGTTTTAGATTCGTTAGTAGTCGTTGTGGTAGGAGTGTGGATCTATCTAATCCATCTATCTAATGAACACAGTAAGCTTGCCAGCTAATATGCTAACCTAGCTTTCTTGTTTACTTTGGTAGCTAACACGATATGAACGCTAGCTCGGAGGAACGGCAACTATAATGTAGTGTAATAAAATTACTATGAACAAAAGCTAGTGGTTCATATTAGGCTAGCAATAACGTGTTTATAATTGCAATCTTATACGGGTAGTCTGCTACGTTCGGTCATTCATTGTAACTGGCATGAATACATTGTTTTGCGCTAGCATGTATAGCTAGCCTCGTTAGCTATACATGCAGTATGTACATGTACTGTCACAATGTACGGTAAATCACCCGGAGTATACTGTATGAGTATTCCGTGTGTGACTGCAGACATTCTCCTGCCATGACAAACATGTAAGGCCATCTGCTGACATTGTAGTTGATATATTTAAATTAAAGTGATTCATATTAGGCTAGCAAGAACGTGTTTACAATTGCAATCTTATACGGGTAGTCTGCTACATTCATTGCAGCTGGCATAACACAAATGTTTTCCCGAGCAAACCCATGTCTAGCTCCGTTGGTTAGCTCGGTAGCATACACGCTACGCCAGCTATAATGTAATTACGTTTCGCGACTGACCGTATGGCAAATCACCCGGAGTATACTGTCTATGAGTATTTTGTGTGTGAATGCAGACATTCTCCTGCTATGAGATACATGTATGCAAGGCCATCTGCTGATATTAGAGTTGATATATGGAAACGCTAGCAACTTAGTTAGCACAGTTAGCACTGTGTCAATGGCTTAGCAGTCCGACACAGTTTACACATTTAAACAGTCTTGTTTGATAAATACACAAATAACAATGCAAACTTACAGGTTGTGTACCCGAATGATCTACCATCATGCGGTACCTGGAACTAAATGGAAGACTAAAATGGGCAGTGACGTATCTCCAACGAGGCATTTTGGGGAGGTATTTTCTGTGTTAGAGTTTTACTCGCTACAGGGTGTACTTTGAGGGTTTTGACTCTGCACACCGTTTACATGCATAAAAACCTTCATAACACACAAGGGGACGGGTAATAACCGGAAAAGCATGACATGGGAGATTTAAAGAAAGACATCAGTAAAGTGGAACTTCTGTATGAAAGCAATGTAAAGATTTGTAGTGAACAAATCGCCGAATTTTGGGGGTTTCAGCGGCCAACACTAGCAGTTAGGAAGAAGCAGCCAGAGATATTACCACTATCGCCTCTTTAAACACGGCTCCAGCTGCAGATCGGGGTGTGTGTGTAAATACCTCCCGTATCTGTGTGGCTGGTGAAGTGCACTGAGAGGGAGAATATCACAGCCTTTGTCTATAGCTTTAACTCACACCACCGCCGTCTCTATTAAAAACGAGATGGTCTAAAAGCACTCTCGTTGTTTGTGACCGTCTTCTACGTGCTGGTAAAACGGGGCAGCGCGAGGTGCGTGCATTACCTGACGCGCCACAGTTCTCTACATTGCTGGAGGAACTGGTGCCGGTCCCGGGTGCATACATAAAATGATAGGCTAATTGATCACGGGTGGGCAGTGGCATGCGAGTGTAGAACAAGACTGTGTTTCATCGTTGTAATGAACTCGATAGCGTGTGTATAGGCTGGTCGAGTAGGACTACAGTTAACTGTGCTGTTGTTGGAGAGAAAGGGTAGCGGAAAAAAGTCTATGCGCTCCTGATCGGGGGGGCATAGCGCCACTAGAATAGAGTAGTGGTGTCGCAAGAGGATAAGCTAGTTATCGCTCTTGGACGGTCTTCAGGCACCGATCTAGGACTTGTATACAAGGGTGGAAGCGCGAGTCAAGGCGCCCCACTAAGAGATAATTCCTTACCCCCTCTGAAACCTCTTCATTCGGACTAAATTGAGCTGGATGAACTTTGCTGACGCACTGGTGTTTATTACGAGTTCATGTTTGTTTGTCTGATTGTTTGTATCGGGGGTCTATATTGGTTTGTCTAACCGCCGTCTTGTGTATGTTTTTTAACAACTAATAATGAATCAGTCCATAGCCAGGGTAAAATAAACTAAGCTTTAGTTAACTCACCAAAAGTAAATGACTTTAGACTAATAAATAATATAAAGATGTAAAGCAAAATTCTGGTAGTATAGATGTGCTGCAAAATGAAATAAATAGCAAAAGAGTGTTTTATGTCCTGCATCTGAGGGTGCAGAGGAAAATGTAAACAAGGAGCACACTGTTCAGGGTGTGTGCCGTAGATGTAAGAAGAAAATAAGATTATATTGGCAAAGAGCGGTCCAAAATCCCAATGCCTGTGAGTATTTCTAAGAGGTTACTCCAGATCAGATGTCCCTTACAGGAATTATGTTTGTTGGCATGACCAGAAAGGACTCCACCTTTTCTTTTTAAATTCTTTGTTGCAAGAATGCATTCAGTCAAACAAGCTAACAAGTGTGTTTTAAGATTGCACTGATTGACTTCTGGCACCAAAACATTCATGTGATGCCAGGTCAATCAAAAACACAGATCGTCTTCAGTTCCTGTTGGACAACATTCTGCCAGAGCCATCCAAGTTTCAAATGGCTCTATTGACAGATGAATGGGACCAGTGGTGAACAAGTTGTGTTCTTAATCAGCAGATAAAAGCACTACAAATAAATATAACATATCATACAGTCCTGGCCTGCCCACAATCAATATGTTCCACTGTTGTGAAGATGAACAGCAGTCCTTGTTATTATGTATATAATAACAAGTTATTATGTATTACATCACATGTCACTTGTTAGACACTTTTATCCAAAGCGACTTACATACTCAATAATGTGGGCAGTCCCCACAGGAGCAATTTGGGGTGTAGTGTCTCAGGGACACAACGACATGCTGACTGCAGTGGGGTTTGAACCTGTGACCCCCTGATCCCAACACCAAGGCTCTATCCACTGCGCCACACGCCTCCCTGTCCCCATGTATATAACAAGGAATGCTGTTAACAATGGTTATATGATTTGGGGAGGCCAGGACTCTATGAAATGTTATATGATGTATTATATGTCGTTGTTTAATTCTGTTGATAGTTATGGCTGATAAGGAATATCACTTATTACTGTTTTTATATTTTAAACCCAAAACCAATGCAAAAACCCCACAGCAACATAGAAAAGACGGTCATAACAGTGCGCCATGTTGAAGGACATCTCATTTCTCTAAATGCACATCGAGGACCGAGGATCGAGCATCGAGGAGGCTCTCTGGAGGAGCTATAATCGAGGAGAGAGGAGAGAGGAGAGAGGAGACAGGAGAGAGGGGAGAGGAGAGAGGAGAAAGAGGAGGCTCTCTGGAGGATCTATAATCGAGGAGAGAGGAGAGAGGAGAGAGGAGACAGGAGAGAGGAGAGAGGAGAGAGGAGAGAGGAGAGAGGAGAGAGGAAAGAGGGGAGAGGAGAGAGGAGAAAGAGGAGGCTCTCTGGAGGAGCTATAACCGAGGAGAGAGGAGAGAGGAGAGAGGAGAGAGGAGAGAGGAGAGAGGAGAGAGGGAGAGGAGAGAGGAGAGAGAGGATGCTCTCTGGAGGAGCTATAACCAAGGAGAGAGGAGAGAGGAGAGAGGAGAGGGGAGAGAGGAGAGAGAGGAGAGGAGAGGAGAGAGGAGGCTCTCTGGAGGAGCTATAACCGAGGGTACACTGATGGATCCTCCGCGGATGTATTTCCGGCAACAGTGATGTTTAAAAGAGTCGTGACGCACGGCCGGACTTATCTCAGCCAATCACAGCTCTGCAAACTGCTGGATATTAGTTTAAAAGACATACAGACACACAAACACACACAAACACACACACACAAACACACACACACACAGACACACACACAAACACACACACAGACACACACACACATACTCTCACACACACGCTCACAGACACACACACATTCTCACACACACACACACACACACACACACACACACACACACACACACACACTCACTCACACAAACTCTCTCACACACACACACACGCTCACACACTCTCAAACACACACACACACTCACAGACACACACACACGGTCACACACTCTCTCTCTCACACACACACACACACACACACACACACACAAACACACACACAGACACACACACGCTCACAGACACACACACATTCGCACACACACACACACACACACACACACACACACACACACACACTCACTCACACAAACTCTCTCACACACACACACACACTCACAGACACACACACACTCTCACACACTCTCTCTCTCTCTCACACACACACACACACACACACACACAAACTCTCTCACACACACACACACACACGCTCACAGACACACACACACACTCTCACACACTCTCAAACACACACACATGCTCACATACACATACACACTCTCACACACACACACACACACACACACACACACACACACACACCTCACAGACACACACACACGGTCACACTCTCACACACACACACACACACACACACACACACACACACACACGCCTGATATTTGCATTTAGAGAAAACACAGGAAACAATTTGTTGAAATGTTAAATACACGAATAACCAGACTGAGAAGTTTTCAGGAATGTTTGCGTCAGTCTTTAGGGGCTGGAGTAGGAGAAACAGCATAAAAACAGACAGAGCAAGACACAGCGCCACATCAGAGCTGCACCTGCAGGATCAGGACCAGGACCAGGACCTAAACAGAAGCATCAGCTGCCCCGGACCTCCAGGACCTCCAGACGGTGAGTCTCCACTTATGTTTCTCCTCACGGTCCTGCATCTCCATCAGGAAGCCTCCTGTGACTCGGTGCAGGGACCAGTCCCCTCAGAAACACAGATAATCCTGAAGAGAGGTCCGTGTGAATGCTGAATCCTGAGCTTTCTGAGTAACGTACGGGGAGCAGGTAGCAGCTGAAGTCTTAACAGTTTCTCCATTGACTTCTGAAGTGAAATGTGGATGAATTATGGTGAATATTATTTATAGCATTCCTAACTCAGATTAACGTTTTGATTGAACCGAGTTTGTGGGTTGAAGATGTGGAAGTAGTTAAGGTACAGAAAAGTGTACAGAAGACTAATAGAGGTAAAGACTTTTTGCTGTAGAAGAACGTACATAGTAAAACTTAATAAGTTGTGGTAACTTTAAAAAAGTATGCAAACTCATTGCCTCTCAATAACTAAGCTAAAAAATGTCAAATTGAGCAAAATGAGCCATGGCTAAAATGCATGATCTGTTTGGTATTTTGAAAAAAAAAAGTATAAATATGCCTTATATAGGTATGGTCCTACAATATATTATTCAAATATAGCATGATAGGTCCACTTTAAGTTAGTAAGTTACAACAACAACAAAAAAGTACAAAAACTATCTTTTTGCCTGAAATGTCCTTAAACAGTAACTCCATAATTTTGATTGTTTGCTGCTCATTTAATAACTATTAATTTACTAGTTTGTTGTCTGCTCTTGTGCATTGTGAATACTAAAGAAGACCATTGTCTCTGTGTTAGCTGATTATTTTGTAGAAATCTGTTGAGTATTAAACAATTGCGTGAGTGACAGGGTATTAAAATAAATTGGTCAGTAAGTCAGAGATGTGCAACTATATTTAACTTTTTGTTTTAAAACATTTGTTTATAAATGATTATGGGAAGTGCCCTTTTTCTCACTTGAGCACCTGCCCCCCAAAATGTCTGTGCACGTCCCTGCTCCATATGATTATTGTGAATACATGATTAAAGGTTTCAGCCTAACTGTCTGAAACATGATGTCACACATCACGTGTGGATTGTTATATTTTATAAATCTAAAAGTGTCTGAAGCACTTTGAGAGCATTATCAATAGGATATAAATATGGTGTGCTCTTGTAACAAGTGTGTGCATTTGTAAAGCATTGAAACAGAAACACACTGATTGTATAACTATTAACGCTAACGACACGGAAAGAAAGTTACATCTACACATCACGGTGGAATTGGCATTACTCATAATAAAGGTATTATAGATATTACAGATATTACACATAACCAGAGGTGGGGACTCGAGTCACATGACTTGACTCGAGTCAGACTCGAGTCCCATATTTTTGGACTTGAGACTTGCTTGACTAACATTGATAAAAGACTTGACTTGACTTTGACTTGGTATTCATGACTTGAGACTTGACTTAAGCTTGAGACAGATGACTTGAAAGGACTTGACTGTTTAAAATTAAATATTTGCGTTTGTTTTTGTCGTGAGATATTACGTTTAGATTTTTCAAAAAACGTGATTGGGTGATTAAAGCGCCGTGCGCGCAAACCTGGCAACCCACTAGACGGCAGGAGAGGATGTCAGTTAACATGGCAGCGGCTAGCGTTACTCCAAAAATAGTGAAGTTTGGATTCAAGGATTATGTTGTTGATGACGCTAATAAGAAGAGAACAGCGGTATGCAGGGTCTGCAGCATAAAGATCAGTGGCACGACCACCACAACATCCAACTTCATTCGTCACTACACAAAAACCCACAGAGAAAGGTGCGTGAATGTGTTGTGTTAGCTAGAAAGCTAACGTTAAGTTTAAGCTACGTTAGACTTGGTTTCAAATCGATTAAGCATTGCAAAGAGAAGAGAAAATGGTAAATGAACACAAGAACCGCCAACGGATTCATTTGTACTAACCCCGATACTGACGGGCTGTCAGGAGAGAGAGAGATAGAGAGAGAGAGAGAGAGAGAGAGGGAGAGGAGAGAGAGAGGGAGGAGAGGAGGAGAGAGAAGAGAGAGAGGAAAAGAGATGCCTCGTTTATTTCCCCTGTGTTATCAGAAGTTACTGTAAACTGTTGAATAATGTAGTTCATCTACTTTTAGTAGTTTGTTTAAATGTTTTAATTATGTTGTTTTTGTTTGTAGAAGTGCATCATTCCTTGATTTATTGTAAAATGAATCTGAACTTTTTGATCTGTTATGATGAAAAACTGAAGCAATTTCTAAATTAACCCAATTAACTGAGTTTTAAATCGTCCTACTTAGTTTATAAGGAAATTATGAAGAGGAACAAATTCAATGATTTGAAAATGATATCTCTGTAGGTGCTGACGCTGTTGGCGGTTCTAGTGTTAACAGACATTTAAATTAAATACGTGTAATGGCAAATGCCATATATAATTTTCTTACCTGGAATTCTGCCTTTTTGAACAGACTGATTGAGTCCTAGCTATATTGAGTCCTAGCTATATTGTCTGCAGTTCTAGGGTTAATATGAATCTAATATGATTGTCATCGGTCTAAATTAGATTTCAAATGATTAACTGTGTATGTAATGAAGATCATAGTGTGGGTTAAATCCATTTTCATAGCCACTGTCTTTTAACTGATTTAAATGCGGAAACTGGGCTTATTCATCAGAATTTTGTATGACTTGACTTGACTTGCTTGACTCTCACCACAGTGACTTGGGACTTGCTTGATACTTGTAGGTCAAGACTTGAGACTTGCTCATGACTTGCACATGTAGGACTTACTCCCACCTCTGCACATAACTCACTGTTGTAGTGATCACTAATTAACGGGGTTACATAATTCAATCCAGGAACTACAGGTTGGGGGTATTGTTTCCGCACGGACATATATGTTGACGGTACCTCCGGGGTACCTACTGTGTGTGTGTCCCTTTCGCTTTCTCTTCTCTTCTCGGGCTGCGACCCGACAGCATGTGCATTCCTGCTGCTCATTAAAGTACAGATTTGCACCTTCGATGCACCGCCTCCGACTCCCTTCTCTCGGCACTACATTGGTGACCCCGACATAAGTCTCGCGAAGGTTCCGAGACTGAACCGAACACGGCAAAAAACACTGTTTTTCTCGGAATGCCGGAGATTTTTCGAGACGTCCGTGGCTGCCACGTGCGCACAGACTGTGGCTCGGTGCGCCCTCCGGAATGGCCGCGGACGACGCTCGCCATTTCCACGGCTTTTCGGCACTGGGGGACAGCAAGCCTTCCATGGAGCCGATACACGACCATGCCTGGTGTATTCGGGACATGCGGCTGCATGTCCGGCTGCGCTCGCTAACGGCTAGCCATGACTGCTAACGGCTAGCAGCTACCAACGGCTACCGACAGCTAGCCACGACAGCTAGCAGCTATCGCCATCCGACTGTTTTTTTTGTGGTGCCGGAGAGGAGGTTCGATCATGTCTGGTCGGCCTCATGTGGATCCTCTCGCAATTTCGCCCACCTGTTTTTGTTCGTGGACAGGACGACCCTTTGAGTTTTTTTCTGGTTCCTGAGAGGAGGTTCGACCATGTCTGGTCGGCCTCATGTGGACCCTCTCGCTTTTTCACCACCTCGACGGCGGCTTCGGACGTCACACACGCCTTCTTCGGCCCGTGGGTGGCGCGCTTATGGACCCCGTCTCGCCTCGACTCTACGGTTTCGGACGTCGCCCATGCCTTCATCGGCCCGTGGGTGGCGCGCTTCGGGACCCTGTCTGGCCTCTTCCTTCGCCTCGGCAGCAGCTTCGGGCGTCGCCCCCGCCTTCTTCGGCCCGTGGGTGGCGCGCTCCCGGACCCTGCCTGGCCTTTCCTCTAACCGCGGCTCACGGTTCGCCTCGACGGCGGCTTCGGCCGGCGCCCCGTCTGGCCTCTCCCCTGTCCACGGCTCCCTCCTCCCGGGGACGCGGCTCCTTACTCCCGAGGACTTCGTGCCCGCCGCCGCTGTGCCTTCGCCTGCGGCCGGGCAGCGCTCCTCCCTGCTGGGGACCACCGGGATGTTCACGCCTGTCCCCAGGTCGCAACACGGCGACCCTGCTTTCTGCGGCCCCCTGACGACGGCCCGTTCCGGCCCGCCCCCCACCCTCCGGTGGGGATGCCCTCGCCCTCGTTGGGGCCCCTACCCTCTCCTGCGGCCCCCTTCCGATGGCCCGTTCCATGGCCCGGCCCTCGCCGGCGGCCCCGCCCTCCTCGGCCCCTGTGGTGTTTCCTCCCGGACGCAAGGATTGTGTCCATGGTTGAATTCTGGGGGGGCTTGTGTAGTGATCACTAATTAACGGGGTTACATAATTCAATCCAGGAACGACAGGTTGGGGGTATTGTTTCCGCACGGACATATATGTTGACGGTACCTCCGGGGTACCTACTGTGTGTGTGTCCCTTTCGCTTTCTCTTCTCTTCTCGGGCTGCGACCCGACAGCATGTGCATTCCTGCTGCTGTTAAAGTACAGATTTGCACCTTCGATGCACCGCCTCCGACTCCCTTCTCTCGGCACTACACTGTTTAATATGTTATAACTCATTGTTTAATATGTTATAACTCATTGTTTAATATGTACTAACTCACTGTTTAATATGTAATAACTCACTGTTTAATATGTTATAACTCACTGTTTAATATGTACTAACTCCTGGCAATGGCTCCACTCCTGGCAATGGCTCCACCCCTGGCAATGGCTCCACCCCTGGCAATGGCTCCTCCTAGAAGAAAATTAATATATAAAAAAACTGCTAAAAACACTATGTGTCTTAAAGTGTTTCACAAACGTTTAACTAAATAATAGAAAGATATACAATTACTAATACAAAATGATTATTGTTATATATTAACTTTTGTTTTTCTACTTACCCACACACATATTGAATGGAACTCAAAAGAGAGGTTTCTTGTCATTGATTGTGTACACTTGAAACAACGTTGACTGCATGCAGGCTAACAACTGAAACTATTTTATTTGAACAATGAGCAAAAGTAACTATGTCAATAAATTAGCA